GAAAGCATAAGGTGCTGTGGACTGCTTTTTTTTGAATGGAGCCTTCTGTTTTTTGAGGAACACCAGATGAAGGTTCAATGGTGCCTTGTGAAGTCGAAAAGGTCTTGGTTTAATGAAAGCTTGTTTTAAGTTAGAGCAGGTTTGTCCCTCCCAGCCTTGGCCTCTGAGGTATGTGTTAGAAAGGAGCTTAGAAGTCATGTTCCAAACTGAATGAAGCACTAACTTGTCTGAACCTTTGTGTTTCCTATTGTCATTTATGAACTTTGGATCAACTGAATGTCATCATCTGGACTGGTGATGGTGGGCAGCCATGCTGTTATCCTTATTAGCCTTATCCAGTGTCACGTTTCTGTTGGATTCTGGGTAAATGCAGATGTGCATAGGCTATTACCAAAACAACTGGAAAGTGGTTGTTGAGTTGACATCTCCAAATTCACTATAGGAACTGTACTTTCAGTTCTTCAGAAACACCTCCGGGTGCAAACTGTGTATTCAATAACATTTGTTTGTTTTTTATTCTCAGGTTTTTCTTGCCCAGTGTGATACCATTGAAGGGAACATTGGCCAAGAAATGGACAAGCTGCAGTCCAAGAATTTGGCACTGGCAGAATGAGGCATCGCCTTACGTAATTAGGAAACATAATTGCTCTATGAGCAAGAAGAAAAGTTTGCTCTTTGTTTTGGAGCACATATCCAGCTTCCTGTTTTTTTTTCCCCTCAAAGCCCAGTCTGTTAGACTGGCACCAGTCAATCATTTCTTGCTGGTTGTCTTGTTTGCCGCTTGGTTAGAACTATTATTTTGAAAAGAAATCCTTCCTGAAGAATGGCTGAGCTAATCTTTGTGAATTGTGTATCTTATGGACAATAAGATAGTTTAGTTAACTAAGTTATGAAGTTTTCAGTGGTGGGCAGTTTTGTCTGATATATCTTTGAATTTATTTACAGCTCAAATCAAAGAAGGTCTATAATCGTACAAGTGCCATAAGTTGCAGTTGTAGGACTACAGCTAGATTGAAAAAGGCAAACTGAGACAACATCTGGGAAAGCTGAACATTCTAGTAGACAGTTCAGAGCAATAAAAAACCCCTACACATTTGTATCTACTTAATGTTTGTATGCATTTATAAATATAAGAAAGCTTGACTATAAGGGAGTCGTACCTATTTTAGCCTTAAATTGTCATAATAAATGGAATGTACTGTAACATGTATGGTACTTAATTTTGAGTGGTGCTTTAAGTTGTTACTGAGCTCCTTGATACAGATGTATGTTTTTTACACAGATTTCTGATGTACTGTGGTTTTTATAGATTATTTGTATTTTTATTATTTGTGTTCTGTCTTGAGTTGAGAAATGAAATGAGATTACTCATGCTGCTCAAATACCAAGGGTTCACTTCAAGCAAGGTATAATGGAGGAGCTATTTTGAAAGGTTTTTTTATACTTTTTTCTGAATTTACTGAATTCGTGATGCTATATTTAATGGGAAAATGCAGTGATTATTCCAGACTGTTAAGGCAATCAGTGAATTTTTATAACATGTTGCAAAGAGACACAGGTTTATTTTAGCAATGCCATCTGTGTGAGGGTTATGGCTGAGTCTTGCAATCACATATGTACTGTGCTTAACCTTCTCTGTTAGGTGAGAAGTCAGCTTTTGTAGGAGACCCAAACTTTGAGTGGGTACAGCCAACTTTGCAGTGGTTGCTCAGAGGTTCTGAGCAGACTGTGGAGCATGTCAGCCTGTAGGTAACATAAATGTACAGGAGCTGCTTTTTCACTGATGCTCCTCATTGGGAGGTCAGCCAGATACACAGCAGCCAGCAAAGCAGGGACTGGGAAGGAGCCTCTTTCTGTGCAAGAAATAAACTCTTCATCCCAAATGAGTCAGACTGAGAATGTTTAGAATTGGCCCTTAGGTAGTGAGGCATTATCCATATGTTTTAAGGTTAGCTGTCCTTTCAAGATAAATGTAGAAAATGTATGTAAAAAGATCTTAACTTCTGATAAGTTATAAAGTTTAAATAATACCTGAAGTGTTATTATTACAGTATTGTCTTTGATGTTCGTAATTGGAGGAACATTTTCTTTTTAGTGAAAAATGCCATTGAAAGTAAATGAAGTAATAGCTGTGCATTACAAAGGGTCACTTATAATCTAAAAATGCTGGCTGATCATACCAAGATTTGAGTTGCCATATGTTTTGCTGTTAACCAGTTACTCCGAGCTTTTATTTTTTCCTTATGAAATTCTCTTATCAGCATCTATGGAGGATTTCATAGTCTTAACTCCTAGTAACCTTATCTATCATGTTAGGATTTGGTATGGTAGGACTGTGGAAGATTTTTCCCTAGGCTAACTAGTCTGTCATGCTGCATTTTCCCAGCACTTTGGAGTTAAGAGGAGGAAGCATCAGTCATAGTCATTTTTGTGAAGCCATGCCTATCCTGTGGCTGCTTCTGGACCAGATTCAGCTGACTCTTAAACCACCAGCAACACTTGCCTAATTCAGGGAATGCAAAATCAACCACTTTCCTATGATGGAAAGGATCCTCACCCTCCCAGATGTGGGCTCTCTAATGTGTTGAGCTTTCACAGGTGCATGTACAATAAGCAAGAATCCCCCTGTGCCCAGGGAGAGAACTGAGAGCTGTGGTCATGGCCAGGACTGTGTCCATTTCTGCTGTTCCTGTGTAGATTTCTCTCTTGGGTGAGAACATTTACAGGCAGACATCGTCTTCCCAACAGTCTTCCCCAGAAATCGCTGCTTCCTTAGATGTGCTTGTGTGAGTACATCCTCAGCCTGTCTCAGAGCAAGGAGGATTAACTTCAGGATGTTCCACAGCAGATCTTTTGATGGTCTGGTACTTTGAGGCAAAGAGAGTGATGGTGAGCCTCTCCCACCAGCACATCTGTGTTCAGCAGAGGGTGGGTGCCCTGAGCCACATTTACCTTGCAGTGCTAAGCAGTTTGGTCTCTAGGACAGAAGTATGTGTATGAAGACCAACTTCTGCAGTATAAATTGTTTTGTCTTCCAAATATAAAAATGAGTTGATTTGTTTTGGAAAAGAGATGGTTGTATTTAGAGTTATCCAAGACATTCTAGAGTGAATTGACTTTTATACTTAGTTTTGGAGAGGGGAGTTGAAAACATTTTTTTTTGTCAGAATAGCCTTAAATTCAGTAAAAGCCAGCATCTGTGCTTTTCAAAAGTGCAGCAGACTGCGATTGTGGGAGGAAGGGGAAGGAAGATGTGATTTTAAATATTCTTCAGAGTTTGTAAATATAAATAATCAAGCTTAAGCTATAGTCTCACTGATTCTGTAGTTCAGGTGTACTGTGATACCTGTTTTGCTACTGAATCGTTTCCTCAGCCCAACAATCTGCCATGATCGTGTCAAAACAGAAGTTACTCCCTTTTGCCTTAGTTGCACTTATCCCATCGTCTTCCTCCAGTTGCTGTGTTGCTCTGGCTGTGTTTACAGACCTTGGATTTGCCATCCTGGCAAAATGTACCATAGGATTTGTCTTTTATCAAAATGGAAATTGAATTGCACACGCCCTTGGCCCCTTTTCTCTCCCAGATCCCGTGGGCTGGTGTGAGAAGAACCAAACCCGACTCAGGGAAATGTGGAGTCTGGAGCCATGGGATGGGTTGCTCTCTGGAAACAGCACAAAATTATAGTGGCAACCTCCATGACCAAGTCCTCTGGAAGGTAATGTCACTGTAAGCCTGGAGCAACACTTTTTGACTTCTAATGGACACTCATGGTTTGGAGTGGAGCACTTGACACCGTGGAAGTTGGCACTAAATTTTTTTTTTTCTTTTTTTGGTTAACTCACGTTATTGTACTGTGATAAATGAAAAGATAAAAATAAAACCTGGAAAGTTCTCTGCTGTCCTTGGTCATGTTGTAGTCACTAAATTCTGTATTTGGGCTGTATTTTAGTGGAGAAGGCACACAGGGCTCTGGCTGGTGCTGCCCTGTGCGCTGTGCAGGGCATTGAGCAGGGCCTCCCAGAGTGTGGGATTCACATTCTCTGAACAGAGAGAGACAATTCTCTCTCTTAGGGTTTTTCCTGGAGAAGCAGAGAAAAGAGTGATCAAACCAATTCTTACCTCATTTGCTGCTCCTGTGTTTGTGTGCAGGTGGAATGTATTCCGGAGATTGTTTACCCGAGGTGACCAGTTGGATCCACGTGTGTGGGTCACGACTCTCGGGCAGAGTAGTAGTAGAAGTAAGTAGTAGTTAGAAGTAAGTTAGAAGTAAGTATGATGTAGTATAGTATGTATCTCTTTAATATAGTATAGTATAATAAAGTAATTAATTAGCCTTCTGAATCCATGGAGTCAGATGCATCATTCTTCCCTGCATTGGGGGATCTTCATAAAAACTATACCAGAGGGTGCCTGATTTGGGGCCTCCAGTGTTCCCAGGACTGGCAATGACACAGAATTTTTAAAAAGCTGGGTTTTTTTTTTTTTTTTTTTTTTTAATAACATAAAGTACTTTACACAGTTGTGTTGCACACCGTGCACTGGAACAGGTTGTCCAGAGAGGCTGTAGAATTTTCCTCATTGAAGATATTAAAGAACCATCTGGACACAGTCGTGTGCCAGGCAGGTTGGACCAGATGACCCGCTGTGATGCCTTCCAACCTGACCCACCCTGTGATTCTGTTTTTTCTGGATCTGGACGTATGGGATGCAATGTTTATTATCTTTTACTTATTTGGTTTGGCGTGAGGGGTGGGGTACGTTTCAGGCAGCTTATTCAGGGCCGTGTCCCACAGCTGGACTGCTGCGTCTATGGAGCTCTGTTGGCGCTCCAAAGGCTTAACTAAAGAACATCCACTAAAGAACATCCACTATGTTCTTTAGTAATACACTAAAGAACATCCCGAGGAAGGACGCGGATCCATCCCCGCTCCTCCCTTCCCGGCGCGCTCCCGGCAGCGTCACGGCGCGCGCCGGCCCCGCCCTTGCGCGCGGGGGGAAGATGGCGGCGGCCGGGGCGGGCGCGGGGCGGAAGCAGGTGCGGCAGGAGGAGCTGCGGCGCCTCATGAGGGAGAAGCAGCGCCAGAACGCCAGCAAGAAGCGCATCGACTCGCCCTTCGCCAAATATCCTCGGCACCCTAGAGCTCGGCTGGGAGGAGGGATGGGTGGCGGGAGGGGGTCCGCGCCCCGCACGGTGCTTCCCTTAACGCGGCCGGCACGTACAACAGCCTGGGGCACCTGAGCTGCTCCCTGTGCAACGCGCCCGTCAAGAGCGAGCTGCTGTGGCAGACCCACGTCCTGGGCAAGCAGCACCGGGAGGTGAGCGGCGCTGCGGAGGGTCTCGGCCGGGCTTCGCTGTTGGGGAGCGCCGGGACAGCGCTTGGGAAGGGGAGGCGCTGGGGAGAGGCCGCGCCGCCGGAACGGGGCCTGGGGTTCGCTGCTCCGGGCTCCGTGCGGCAGCGGGAGCGGCGGGGACCCGCCGGGATGAGGGTGGGAACCAGCCTGGCTGTTCCGTCTGGTTTCTGTTCTCTTTAAGCCCAGGCGGGGGTAGAAAAGGCAGCCGCTAGAAAGGGGGTCCCGTGTCTTTCAGGGGTCCGCTCCTCCGGTGAAGCAGTCCCCACCGTAGCGACAGCTTTTGGCTGTCACTTGTCTGCTGCTCGGACTTGGACCCGACCCCCCTCCGCCTCCCCGGGCTTGCTCGGGGAACTGTGAGCTGTCAAGTGACAGCTTATGCTGGGTTAAGAAAATACACGTTTTTTCTCTTTGTAATTCAGTAGTAAAGATAAAGAAGTTGTAAAGCAAGTCAGGGAGTTTGTAACTTGGATGCGACCCATTTTTTTTTTTTTTTTATCCTTTTAAGTTCTGCTGCTACTTCTTAGCAAAAACTGAAAGACTGTGTTTAATTTTACAAGTACTCAGGAAAAGACCAAAGGAACAGAGGGGGTGCATTGCCTGCATTCAGACTAGATGACTGTGGCAAAGCAGAATGATGTCTTTCATGATGTTAAAATGCCATGTTTTAATTTTAGAACACTTAGTATTCCAGGACCTTAGAATAAATCCAGCCTTCCTGCTCTTCTCTCCAGTACCTTACTGTTGTCAGTGTCACTGCTCTATCTTTTCTTACTGGCACAGCCTCCCTTGTGTGAGTGTCAGTTCCTCTTCCTCCATGTCACATCATTCCAGAGGCTGACAGAAACACCGGTCTTTGTTTTGGTAGCTATGGTGTCTATTTCAGTGATACTGTTCTAGAAAGGTATCAGCTCACTTTGATGACTGTTGTAAAAGCTCTGTATTTTAAGCTGCAATCCAGAAGTTACTGCTAGTAATGTGCCCTGAATTTTTATTTCTTGACAGAGAGTTGCAGAATTAAAAGGCACAAAGCAGACGGCCACTGGCTCAGCTGCTGGCACATCCTCTCATCCTGTCAAGAGAAAAACAGTTGAGACAGAAAATACAGACCTAAAGAGAGCAAAAGGTAATGAGAGAGAAATGCTTGCCAGAATCCGTCCATTTTACATCTTGAATGTTTTTGGTTTGTTTTGTTCCTGTGGAAGTGAGTATGAATACACCAGACTGTTCAGTTAATGTCAGCCCATTGCTGCTGAAAAGGGGAAAAGTTTGGTTTGTTTTCTTCTGGGTTATTGGTTAAATTAGGTCATGGAACTGTGGGCTTGGCCCAAATAGATCGAGAAGCAGTGTAAATTAAGCAGTAGGAGCACTTGCCTAGAAGTGGTGTTACTCCTTTTCGGTGGAATCAAGTCACTGGGTTTCCTCAAACCATGCACCAAAGTCCTTGCCAAAGGAAAGACAGTTAATTTTTTCCCTTTGTGCTACCAGACATGTAAATATATATGTTAAATATGTGTGGCATCTGGGGACTTGGTGCTGTCACAGAAGCCGTAGGGATGTTTCCTTTAAAAGCATGGATTTTAAGAAGTTCTCTTGGCTGTTGTACAGGTACAGAGGAAAAGCCACACACGTCTTCGTCAGGGTAAGTAGATCTTGTTATTACCTAGGAATTTTTTCTAACTACCAGTGGCTGCATTCTCATCCAGCTCTTCCTTGTCTCTGCTTTCTGTACAAGGGCAAAGTTTGAGAGTCAGCAGATCCCTGCTTCTGCCTGTTCTCTAGCAGAGTTGTATAGTCCTGAACATGGCAGCATCTTCCTGGGTGGAGATAATTGTATCAACTCTTAGGACTCTCTGAGAAAACAGGAATTATTTTACTGTCACTGACAGACTTCAAAGGACTGACATGTGGTTCTACTACACAGCTTGAACATAACCAGACTGTAGCATGTACTCTAATAATGCCGACGTCCTAAAGAAGAGGTGTCAGTCTGCAATTAAGAGAAATTTTCAGTGTATAATTAAATGATATTTATTAACAAAAACTACTAACAAGTGACAGATCTTCATTAGGATGGTTTTTGTCACCTAAAATTCATGTTGGTGCATATGCTGCAGTTGAACTTATACAAATATAGGGCTGTATTTGACTTCAAGGGGTTGGGTTAAGCATCTCAACTGCCCCTAAAAATTTCTGATGGTATTCAGACATCTTTGTAGGGTGGGCAGATGTCAGGTGACACTTGTGGGTCTCCTCTGCACTTCACAGGATAAATTACTATCTTGCATAAGTACCATTTGCTGTTTCCTTGAAGGAATTTAAGTTTGTGTGCAAAATTAACACTTGAGAGGTTTGTCCATTTTTGAACTTGTTGGTATAATTAGTTTAAAATATATTGTGGAAAAATGTTTGGCTTGCTGGCTGCAGCTACTCCAGCAAATCTGTGTTTTCTCATTGCTGAGCCTGTGTGGCTGTTGTGAATTCCAGTCCTGGACAGCACTAGGTACCCAAAATAAGTAGCAAATTACTTAATAGGTAGAAAAAGAATTACTTTAACCACCATTCCAATTTGTTACGGGTTATTTTTATTAATGTGAATATGCAAATGGAAAAATGGATCTAAAATATGTTTTTAGAATTAACCTGGGCGTTTCTGGGGACCTTTAAATGAGAGCCCCAGGCATGTGCTGCCTTCAGACAGTGGCTGTGTTGGCAGCTGTGCAGTTCAGGGCATTGCTCACAGAGGGACTGGGCTGCTGGTGCTGGACTGGAGTCACTGCTGTGAGGTTTCTAACAGTTGTGTTGTGGGCTCTTTACCAGGCTGCCAGCAGATTTTTTTGATGAAGCAGAGCAAGACAGTGCCAGTGTACAGCTTCCCAAGGGCCCAGGTCCCAGTTTATTGTCAGGGAATTACGATGACGATGATGAAGAAGAAGAGGAACAAGAACAATCAAGCAAATCTTCTGTTGTGCGTAAAACTGAAATTCCACCTCCAACTCAAGAAGTCATAGCTAATTCTCTGCCTGCAGGTAATGCTGACTGAAATAGTAATTAGTAATTCTTAGTAATTAATAGTAATTCTCTGTAAGGAGAAGCTGTGATGTAACTGATGATGAAAGGTTTATATTTTATTTTTCTAATTATTGCCATTAGGTGATGGTGAGGGTGTGTAATACTGGAAGTAGAGATAAACTAGCAAAGAATCTCCTGTTATTGTGTGGTGATTGCTTATTGATTTTATGTTCTAGTTGTTTGAGGCTGCCAAGGGAAGTAACATCTGTCTGTTCTTCCCTTGATTCAGTAAGGTACTAACTGAAATTCCTGTGTAGTTGGAATTTTAGAAAATGCCTGAACAGCTGTTCTTTTTGTCATAGTCTTCTGTCCTTTCCTATAGACTTTTTTGACACCAAAATTCCAGCTGCTCCTATAGTTTCCCATTCTGGATCCATACAGAAAGCAGAGATACACGAGAAGGTAATCGAAAGGTAAGCAGTCAAATCAAATATTGATAGTCTTAGCAATTGTAAACAAACATTTGTCTTCCAGGGAACAGAGACTGTGATCCCTTAGAACTTATTGTTATGTTGCATTCAGAACAGTTTGTATATATGTGAGCCTCAGGCATCATTTCAGACAGGTATCTTGCACCCTAGGGACAAGAGAAGAGATGGAGCAATGTCATACAGAGTCTGACATCTCTTTGCAAATTTTAACACAGGGTACTGTGGGAGCTTTGTGTCAACCACTGCTTTCCAATGTTTAAAGGAAACTGCTTGTTGCGTGGTAATGGTTCAGCTCACTTGAGCACTCCTTTAGACTGTGCTTTAGTCTTTCAGAAGTAGAATCTCTGCTGTTACAACGTTTGGGTGTTCAGCACACTGGAAAGAACAGTTTAAGAAGCATAAGCTACAGCTCTTGTTTTAACAGTGAGATTTAAACCTTTCTGTGCAGTTCCTTCAAAGCGAGGAAGGATCAAGCTGAAAGAGGAGGTTTTGATAGTTGTAGATAAAACTAAGGGCTTAAAAATCTTGCTGTGTTTCTGCATACTTACACAAAGGATTATGAATTTAGTTTTTGACTATTTTTAACTCTGCAATAGAGCAGATTGTAAAGTGTTAACTTGGGCTAATAGTAATCAAATATTTCAGGAAAGAAAACACTGCTGAAGCTTTGCCAGAAGGTTTCTTTGATGATCCTGAAGTGGATGCAAAAGTAAGTGATCTCCTTGTTTTATGCTACTGGATTTATTTCTGCCGGTTGTAATGATTTGCTGAGTAGTAAGGATGCTTTTCCAGGTAATCAGTCATACTGGAATATAAGAAGATGACTGAACTATTTAGACTAGAATAGACTATTTCAGTTGGAAGTGACCTATAATAATCATCTAGTCCAACTGCCTGAAAACTTCAGGGCTGAACAGAAGCTAAAACTCATTCTTAAGGGCTCTGTCCAAATCCCTTTTAAGCACTGACAGGCTTGGGGCATTGGCCACCTCTCCAGGAAGGCTGTTCCAGTGTTTGCCCACCCTCTGGGTAAAGAAATGCTTCTTCCTACTTCCCAGTCTGAACCTCCCCTGGTGCAGCTTTACCCATTCATTCTGTGTGAATGAGAAAACATGAAAAGGGATGGAGATGGGCAGGAAGAGCTTGTTAAAGCCATCTCTTGCAAAGTATTTTTGATTATGGTTCCTCCGTGACTCTTAAAGAAATGTCATTTGTTGGTTGGAATACTGAACTGACATTTGGACAATCTACCTTTATTTCTGTGAGTCATCCCAGGAAAAGCAGTTCACTTAATTTGTACACTCAGTTTTGCTTTGGAATTGGGGATATAATAGTTCTTGCATGTCCTTTGTGAGATCCTGCTGAAAAGTGTTGAGTCACTGTGTGACTGATGGGGTGCATGCTGTTGGAGTGAAAGCAGCTCCATTATGGCACACGCTGTCATCTCCAGTGCTGGTTACACCACAAGAGTCAACCTGGTCTTCAGCCCTCTCGTCTTTTACCACTTGGGGGTTTTATGATGCTCAGAAAAGAAATGTGGGTATTCACCTTCAAATTCTCAAAATTTCTCAAAAAACCCCCCCACAACTAAAAATCTTGAAATCCAAAAACATTCATACTTCAGCTTGCATGGTGCCAAATGATGACCAAAATAAAACACTGGTATTTGAAATACAAACCTTTTTTTGTTTCTTTTTGTCAAATTTGCCACAGATTTGATAGCCTTCTTGCTTTCTTTATTGAAATACAGTGCTGTAGGCCTAAGTATTTTTTATTTTTTTTGAGTATATTTTCTTGTTCACACAGTGGAAGGCTGCTGGTTTATTTAAATGGCATTGTGAGGCTAAGCCATGACATCTAATTTGGGGACCTTCCAAATAATGCTCCTTCATCTTCATTTAGTCCCACTGGCCCAGCTAACAAGCTTAGGTGTTTTATTTACTCTGGCAAGACTCTTTTGGCGCTACTCATGCCCAGGTGTTGCCATATGTGAATAGTTTTGAATAATGATATTTTGAATATTGAAATATGTAGCTGAAAAATCCATCCTTTGGCTGCTTTTTGTGGGGGTTTTTTGTTTGTTTTGTTTTGTGTTTTGTGTCTCATTGAAGTAGTAAATTTTTCAAATACTTAGTTTCATCATAAGTAGGGCATGCAGGAATGCCTAGCAGGAAAGGAGAATCTGCTTTTATCTGTGAGGACACTGGTTAATGACCTTTGTTCTGGTTATTGCCTCCACTGATAAATTTACAAGTGATTACTTGTTCCATTGAATTGCTTGAAGAGGCTCTTCCTTTTAATGAGCCCTTTCTGAGTGTAACTAATACTCAGAGGGAGGAAAATGTTTGTGACATCACTTACGTTGAGGTGGCTGCAGTGGTTCTGTGTTGGAATCATACACAAAATAATTATTTGAAGAATGAACTGGGCGTTTGAAAGGGAGATTGTGGGTGTGAAAAATGCTTGTTATTTGCATCAGGTACTTGTAGAGCATATAAATTCTGGGTTAGATAAATATTTCAAGAAAAAATAATAACTTTAGTGTTTAAATTTATTGTAAGAAATACAAATAATTATGAATTACAAAAGACAACCACAATGCATAATAACACAGTACATACACATATGATAGAAATAATAACAACAAAAAAATGAAATGATGACTATTACTTCCCAGTATGAGTTTGCTTGGAAGCTTCTAATTTATTCTATAAACTTAATTCATACTACTTGATTTTGTATAATCACTCAGGAACAAAACACACCAAACTGTTGTCTTTACTAAGGTGATGACTGACATGTCACCAAAAGAGCAGAATGAATAAAGGGAAAATAAAACTAATGCAAAAAGATGGTGTCATGACTTATGATGTTCAAACTGCTTAGTTCTCCTAGCTATATAATTTCTACCCAGTCCTGAGTCAGACATAATCTGTCCTCTAAAATACATTATATGCCACATCTTCCAGTCTTGAATTGTGTAAGTTTCAATTACACAGGTAGACTACCGTGTTTATTTATTTGCATTAAAAGCACAATCTGGCTTTGATTACCTTGGCTGTAGATCTTAAACACATTCTTACCACGACTACTCTTTCAGACTTCATGTCTTGGTACTAAATGCCATCTACCGCAGAATAAAAAGCTTTGCATGTCATTGAAATTGGTTTGTAGCTGTACATTTTCTTCTGTTAGCCAACAAAATTAGACTAGATTTGAAACACAGTCAGGCTATTTAACACCAGCAGACTAGTGACTGAAAGGTTTGATATTTTATGTTATGCCAAAGGCAAACAATTCACTGCTTTTTGGCTTGAAATGGCTACTGTATGCAATTGTACAGGCAGCTTACAGAAGAATTTAATAGTTATCACCTGACACAGTGAAATGGCAGACCATCAAACTCACTTCTGTTACTCCAGACATTCCGCACCAGCCACTTTTAGTCAATAATTATTCTTTAAAGCTGCAGTCATGGATGTTGTTTAATCCAGGAGTAGAGTCAGGTTTTTCTTCCGAAACCACTGTGCAGCTGCACTCTCTCACTCATATCCATTACTTAAACTGAAATACATCAACCAGACTTCTCTAATAACACAGCATAATTTTTCATATTTCTCCTGGTTTTTTTTACAGTGTCCCAAAGAGTCATTAGACTTAAATTGTTAATTTATAAATTTTCATGTTCTTTAGGTGAGAAAAGTTGATGCTCCAAAGGATCAGATGGACAAAGAATGGGATGAATTTCAAAAGGCAATGCGACAGGTCAACACAGTAAGTAATGGAATCTATATTTATTGATTCTAAATACTATACACAATAAGGAAAACAACAGTTTCATGCAGCTCTGCAGAATGGCTGACATCTGCATTTGTCAGCTGGTTGTTTCAATGCAGTGTGTGGTTAAATGCACTTTATAAATGAGCAAAGGGTTCTTTGTATTTTCCACTTAAATGAAATTAAGATGAAAACTGTTAATCAAGATCCAGTCATATGTATCTAGTTACATTTGTTACACTGTATTTTATTTAAATACTATTTAGCTAGCATATACCTCAGATCAGTGTCCTGTATCCAAACAGGACACAACTGTGGGCTCTTCTTTAGCTCTATATTCATACTTTAACTTTTAAAAACACTACCCATTTGTCTTTCTTTTAAAAAAAGTATCTATAAAGTGTAGGTAACCGGGATTTCATGTTTAATTTAAATGCACTGGAAAGGAACTCCAAAATCTGGGAAGGTGACAAAAGAGTTTTGAGACACGTAAATTAGCCAGTTTTTCTGTACTTCAATTTTTTACTCTTTACCATTGCATGGAAAGTCTTCCTGCAGCAGGTGTTGATCTGCCCTTGTGTACAATTTAAAGATTACCTGTATTCTCAGTCTTCCCCTAGAGTATTTGCTATCCTTTTAATTATTTTAATTGTAAATAGTTACTCATATGTCAACTGCTGAGAAAGGTGGTGCAGAAAAATGTTTCATTGCTCATTTTAAAGCAGTCAGCACTATAAACAGAGCAAATGTTCATACAAAAGCGGTGGTGGATACATTTTGCTAGCATAAGCCATTCAGATAATTCTTCAGCTTAGGAGGAATCTTCTCAGTTATGCGTGGACCATTGATTGCATAGCATCTCCCAGACATTCAGATTTGAGAAAGTATATGCTGAAAAAAATAACAGGTTAGAAACACTTCGGGATCCAGTGGGAATATTTAAACAGTATGTTCAATAAGTGGTGTGTATTTAAGTCCCAAGCACTGGGATAGAGCTCTTGTTTCAGCCTCAGACTGGGTATGTGTCTGGTATGTTTGCTTATGCTCAGTTTCAAATCGTAGAGTATTAAAAATTTCTAAAGATTAACCCCAAAGCAGTCAAAATTCTTTTGATTTTAAGAAAAAGCATTTCCATGTCAAATTAAACCAGACCATTTTTTTTCTGTATTTGCCCTTTTAAAGATGGGAATATACATAGAGGAGATTGACACTAACTTCAGGTGGAGGGGAGCAGGGGAGGACACAGACATTGTAAAGGAGTGGAAGTGGAATTCAGGATGAAGGTGAATTTTCTCAGTGCTTTTCTGGTTTAGATTTCAGAAGCAATAGTGGCAGAAGATGATGAGGAGGGACGACTAGATCGCCAGATTGGAGAAATTGATGAGCAGATGTAAGTAGATCAATTTTTCCTCAAATTCTCTGTTCTCTAGCAGTAATGGATTGCTCTTTGACTAGAGTGATAAAAACGCTTCTAATCTGCAATACTACCTTTCATTAATCACCTGAATATTTGAAGGACAGACTCCCTCAAATTGCAGAATGATACCTAATAAAGACACGGATTTTGACACAAAGTTTTGTAACTTTCTCCAAAGAGAGAATGCACTGGAATCACTGAAGGTACACAAGGCAAATTCTTGGAACAAACTGTCCCTCTTCCCCTTCAGGTGGCTTAATGTCTTTGTATTTCCCTGGGAGTTTTGATTGCTGTAGAATATATGTGAACATTTTAAAGGATCATTTCCTGTACTGAAAATGTCCTCTGCTGTGGCAAACCCTCTTTAATTCTAGTAGAAGTTTAAGGTTTTGTGGAGTGATGCACTTCATTACATGTTTGTGTGGTTTTGTTTTGCTGAAATGGGGAGTGTGGTGGTTGGATGGGCATTGCTTTAAACTCAAGCAACCTGAAATACAGCTCAGTGGAACAGTTTGTTACCATTTTCCTGTAGCTCAACACACTGATATTAACAGTGATAATGGCAATGGTAGCAACTCAGAAGGAAAGACACTAGAAATTTCACTTCAACCCTCTGGGCTGATTTACATGCTGCACATAATCAGTGTATGGTAACAACAGCATTGGGTTCAAACTGAACATTGCCGTTACAGGAATGCCTTTTAAGAATGTTAGTGTAATTCTAAAGAGGGCTTGAGCTAAACTTGCCTCTCTTTAAGGATTTATTTTTCTCACTAACTAAGGCTGCTGTAAGTACATAGAACCAAATTCAGAAATTTGTAGAGTACTTCAAGTTTTAATTGTAATTATTTTTCCGCAGAATAAAAGTTCCAAACACATTTTTAAAGACTTTTTGTAACATTTGACTTCTGAGTGTATTCAAATGCAAGCTATTTCAAATTAAGTTGAAAATGAAATAAATTCCTTGGCCTTCAAATCTTCAGCTATGTAAGAATCATATTGGTAATATGCCAGGGGAGACAGGATCCAGAAGTAACCCCTCCATGTTGACCCTTCCGAGCAAATAAGAATGAAAGGGGCAAAGGAGAATTTAAATCAGGCTGTTACTACTTGACATTTTCAAAAAAAAATCCTATTTGAAGTGGCTAGAATGGTTATAAAACACAATTCAAGGACAGAACTTTTTAAGTGAATAGTAACCTGAAACTTTTGGATTGTGTTTACTTAAAATGTTCTGTTACAGCAGAGAGGAAGCAGATAAAGAATCTGAACACTTTGTGCTGCTTTTTTTATTTTCAGAGATGCCACCACTAGGTTATCAAAATTGATAATTGATGTCACACCTTTCTCTCTTGAAAACCATAAATGTAGCAAAAGAATGGTGCTCCTTCTTGTGTGGAAGTGGATATTGGTTCTGTGCTTTTTGAAACGTGGTTTGTGACTGTATTGCAGTTGTTAAGTACTTAGATTAGGTCTCACTGCTAGAGAATTGACCAAGCCTCTCCTCAGTCTGTTTTCACTTGAAGAATACTGAGAGGGTGCACTAGCATCTTGAAAGCTTATTTCTTTTTCACTGTTGGGAAGCTGTAAAGCTTCTTTATCCAAAGTTGTAGAAGCAAAATCCAGCCCTGGAGGTGATGACATTAATGTGGAAAGGCCCCAGATGTTAACAGGTGTTCCACTTTCCAACAGTGAATGCTACCGCCGCGTCGAGCTTTTGCGGAACCGCCAGGACGAGATAAAGGAGAAGTTAAAGGAAGCCATGAGATTAAAAGCAGCACAAGAGAAAGAGGAGGAGGATGTTGGGAGTGAAGATGAAGAAGAACTGCAGGATTTGCTGTCACAAGACTGGAGGGTGAAAGGGGCTTTGTTGTAGCATTTTTGCAATGTGGTTGACACTCTTTTTTATCTGTGGTCTTGCTTCCATTGTTAGAAGGGAGATTCTTTTGTTAAATATTTATTTAAAGAGGATCATAAGCTACAGAGCAAAGCTTATTAAAAAAATTTTGTAGATCTGCAGTAGTGTATTACTTGTTGTAAAAACTGTATATTGCAAATGTTTTACAATACTGGATGCACCTTTCCTATTAAAATGACTGGTTTCCTACCAGAAGTATTTTAGTGGGATTAATAAATCTGTAAAGAATCTCTAGGCTTTTGGAAGCATTAGCTCAGTTTGGTAATTTTGAGACTTGGCTTATTGTCTACAGAAGTACATAGTCAACAAATTTTTCCCAGACTGAGGGTTTAGGGAAAGGGAAATACTATGCATTTATGTTTTCTTAAAATTTGTAGATGCCCTTCTGTCCTTTGCCCCAGCTCCCAATAAAATATGTACATTTTTTTTAGGAAAAAAAAATGTTACAGTTTCTCTGTGTATATAAGGACTAAGCTCAGAAAGGCTGAGCTACAGCTTCTCCACAGTGTATTGCCTTAATGTGCCATAGCACTGCTGGATATTTTTCTTTATGGTCTCCTGTTTTGCTTAGTGCAGCCATCATGTAGCATATCTCACACTTCTTGAACCAGTGGGATGAGAAGGCAGTGGTTACATATCTGCATCACTTAATGAAAGGGTGACAAAATGCCTGAGAGGAAGGTGCTGCACTGGAAACTGAGGAGGTAAAATAATAATTGCAAATACTGGAAATTTTCTTAAAATACTATTTTAGGCACAGAAAGCATCTAAAATTGATTCTGTTCTGATAAACACAGATTAGGTAAAATCAAGAACCAACAAACTTGACAAGATTGGGACATGGAAAGCAGAACTACCTTTGGTAAGTGTCTTTTTTTTTAACTTTTGTAAATCTTCAAATACTTCAAATTTACTGAGGACTTTTTGAAAATAAGAGGGACGTGTGGCTTGATTGATATCAAAAAGTAAAGTTGTTAAGAACAGGTTAACCTTTTTTTAAAATACTCTAGATTTAAAACTAGCGAGATTTTAAAGGGAGAAAACAAGCTTTGTTCTTATGAAAGCATTCCAATTCCTTGCCTCAGAGATTATTATCAACCAAGCAATAAAGATTAGAACAAAACTTAGATGTTAGATTTGCCTGTTTTGGGGGAAATATCTGATATGGCAGAAGCCCTATCCTTATAGTGAGATGCCTTTTTATCACTCCCAATTTTTGTGATCCTTAGGTTCAGCTCTTCCTATTTATAAAGCTGTAAAAATTTAGGCAATAGTCCCTAGTGGTTTATTGCATCCACACTTTCCTGCTCACACGTGCTGGCTTACAGCTGTTAGTAAGAGGAAGTGTAAGTAGCTGTTGCTGCTGAAATGTTTGATGTGACACTGAAGTCTTACATGAATTAGGACTGTCACTGAGATAGCAACATTCAGAGAGTATTGAAATACAGAATAAGTGTTCAGAGAATATTGAAATAAATAATGAATGTTTGGACAAGTTGGAGAAAACTCCGTTGGACCAAAACTGAAATAAAATGTCTTTGTATACATGAAACATTGGAACATCAATGTCTAAGATGCCTGTCATGCTGCACTGAAAGATCTCTCAATCCATTTATCCCTGCAAAGAGAACTTCCAGCTGAGGGGGTGGTGCAGTATTAACAGGACAGTCTTTTTCAAAACAAACCAAAGCACAGTCCCTCAATTTCCCTCTGAGAAAAGCTAAGCTAAGTTCCTGATCTGTTTATCTTTGCTTTTCACTGACACCACTCACCAAAGCACACAAGCTTGTTAACACTTAAACTTCAGAACCATTCTGCATTTTCAGAGAAACAGATGTAATGAATGTCAGGTTACACTGAACATCATGGACATGCATGTTTTGACAGTATAAAAATGCTAATCTCTGAGTCAGTAAATTACACTTCCTTTTTGTACATTTTACTTTGATCTTGCACAGAAATCTGCAAATCATGGTTTCAGCTGTGGATTAGTAGGAAATTAACTGAGCATTAAAACAGTTCATCTGTTTTAGTCTAGTTGCCTTCATCTTTAGAGGTATCTTGGGGTAAGAGGCTAAAGGCAGTGAGTTTAGTTACAGTGCAGGATCTTGAACATTCAAATCCAAACCAGTGCGCCCCATTGTTATTAGGAGAAGATGGCAGGAATAAACACCAGATCACTCATCATTCTATTTGTTCTCCTTGCATAACTTGCTGAAAGGGAACCATGGACCAGCCGGGGGGCGTGTGCATTGCTGGGGAAGTGACAGCATCCATCTCTCTTGGTTGCGTTTTGTTTAGGAGTTGGTGCTCTTTTCCTTGGAGCAATCTCACAGATCTCCAAACAGTTTTATTCCAGTTTTTTACACCTTACTGCATACAACAGTACCTTTCTTCAGCATTTGAAACAAAGCTTTTAGAGAGCTTTGTGAAGATAATGGGGGTGTCTTTGCCCCTTGTGACCACTGACGTGCATGTGCTGTCATGTCAAGAGGGCAAGAAATCATCCTGCTTTTTAGCAATGAAAGTAGCATGGCTATAAGAGAGAAGTATCCTAACCTCTTTTAGTAGTCAGGCTAATTTATTAAGGGAAATAATCTCCTGTATCTTAGAAAAACATAGGGATAATTAATTTGTAATCTTAAATATGTGTTCAGTTTTAGAAAACAATTTTATGTACTTCTGATGAGCTATTCAGATAGCTTATTAACCAGAGGAAATGATTGTTTTTAAAAATGTGTACTTAATTTCTTTCTCACTTCTTAACTTCCTTAAATTCTGTTTCTTAACAATAAAGATGAAAGTAACCCTAATAACTAGCTATGTCAATAACCACTGTTAAAAATGAAATTTTAATTGGAATTAGGAAGACTATTTTAATTTTCTGATCTTCAGGACTTGCAGAAAACTGAAATATCAGAGTTAGGGAGGAAGACATTTGTAATCCTTATTTACTCATATAATATGGAAACTTGTCCAAACTTAGGAATTGTGGAATTTCACGCCACCAAAAAGTAGTTGAGATTCCCAGCTCAGTGGGTTTGGAGCTGGTAAGTGACTTCCAGGGGCAGAATGTGTGTGTCTGCATGTTTGAAATGGAGTTCCAGGGAGCAGCTCACCATTGCTACAGCTGCTGCTGGTAGTGAGCTCTCCTCTGGCAAGGCAGGCAGTCCCCAGTGCTAATTGCTGTGCTAACTTCTCTCCTGCCCTGAAGAAATAAGCTGCTGCTGCCATGGCTTAAATGTGGAACAAGGTCTGTATTTGCTACAGAGGAGCCCAAAAGTGACCATACAAAACCAACAAACCCAAATAACAGCAAACCAATGTTCTCATTTGCTAACATGATTGTTTTTCCTCCACTACAGCATTTAATTTTAAAATTTGCTTCAAATTGCAAATACTGATTGAAAAGAACATCGGCGTCAGCTTTGACCAGGCTCCCTGCCAATAAATTCAATTTGAAGAGAGACAAATTTTGCTTATTACATTCCACTGTAATTATTCTCTGCATTTTATCATCTTAAAAACACTGAGCTAGAAATGAGAAAAGCCATATTACTAAAATATTTTCAGCACTTAAAAATACTTCTTTTCTTATAATCCATAAAGGTTGCTCTAGAAAATCAGACATTCAGCCTGCATGAATCATGTAGTAGGTGTCATTAGAAACCACAGTGTGAGTATGTAATGGTTCAGAAATTCCCTTTTGTTAGGTTCCATCAAATGACTTTGACTCTTTAATTTCAGTTACTGTCCTAAGACACATGCCAGTCTGTAGGGGGACAGGACACATGCTCTGATGCAGAAACTGATTTAATCAACATTGCTGCATTCCTTCCTGGAACCAAGGAATTAAGTACACTTTAGTGCCAAGAAGGGGCAGTGTGTACTTACACCCCTAGAAAGTGTGGCTCGGGCCAAGAGATGGAAATTTCAGGTGTGAAGCAGTTTTTCAGTGTCTGCCTTCATTTGATCTTCTGTTCATCAGTTCATTAGAATTATCCTGGCCCGACAGCTGGGAAAACAAATGCGAGCAGTTCCTTTGTGTAGACATCTAAAGCAGGTCTTTCTTCCAAAAATACTGTGGAGGCACTAATGCCTTGCACCATTGGTGGCTGCAGAAGTTACAGGGGATAGAAGAGATCTCTGTTCAAATCCCTCCTTTGGATGCTGTCCTTTAAACACACACTTTGTGTCACCCAGTTGAGCAGCCTGACAATGACAGTGTTCCCTGCAGAAGCTGTGCCACTGTTGAGCCCCTGAAGCAAAATCACAGTGAGCACTGTGACTTTCAGATAATCATGACACTCACTCCAGAAGGGTAAGGTCCTGTCCCAAGAATACAAACAGTGCTGAAATACAGCTGGTGCTAAGGCTGTGGAAGAAATTGGATTTTCAGACTGTCTTGTGAAACCTGACAAACAGCACCTTGCCTGTGCAGCCCTCTGAGGCTGAGGCACTTCCCAGTGCCTCTGTTCATGGCACCACTGAGACTCTGCTGCTTCCTAGGAGCTTGACTGGCCCAAATGTGAACCTTGGGGCCCACAGATGCCCTCTGGCTATGCCTGAGAACAGAAACCACTCTGTATTAGCAGAAGACTAACTTTGTTTATTTTCCTTCTGGTTTCAGCTAGCATTCATGCTGTCAGTGTTTTTTCACTTGAGAAACACAACAGAGCTGCTTGAATTCATTTGAGATGTTTCCAGAAACCTAATTCCAATTTGATGATGCAAAAGCTGCGGAATTTGTGCTGTCTTTCATCTGGAAACTCACATTTGTGTGGGCAGTGACCTTTTCACAGCGAATACATGCTTCTTCTTATCTACCTTTGGGCATGAGTGGTTTACTTTTCTATTTCTACTTTTCTTACTATTATTCATTATCCCTTTTTTTTCCCTTTTTTCTTTACCATCTTGTCTTTTGTTTGTCTGTTCTGTATATTAAAGATATTAGGAGCTTTTTCTTGCCATTCAGAAATATTTTCCAACTAAACTAATGAAATTAAAACAAGCTTAGATTTTATCACGTTTCTGCCTGTATTTTTGCAAAAACCCTCTCAGAATACTTCCTTCTTAGTATATATGTTTTTATTTTACCTCTCCTCATTCCTCACACAAACATGCCCCTGCATTAGTTTGTTTAACTCTTTCACTTCTGCAAACCACATGTGAATTATTAATGTGAAAGATACTACACACCCCAGAGCTGCTGCTGCCCTTTGCCTGGCAG